CTTGTATTCATAATAGAAATATTATGTGGGATCATCTAGAACATATTAGCAACTCTTATAAAGGGCCTTGGTTAGTAGGTGGTGACTTTAATGATATTCTAGCCGCTAGTGAAAAATTTGGTGGCAAACCCATTAAGGATAGTAGAGCTACATTCATATGGTCAAAAATCAATAAGTGTAACTTGCTTTATCTAGGGTTCAAAGGAAGCAAATATACTTGGACAAACAACAGACATAATAAGAAAGGTCTTATACTAGAAAGACTAGATAAAGTTTTTGGAAATGAGGAATGGATTGAACTCTTTCCTAAAAGCTCCATAATCCACTTGCCTAGAACCCACTCTGACCACAACCCTATTCTATAGAATTGATCCCAAGAAATAGGTCTCTCCATAATATTCCTTTTAGACTAGAAACCTTTTGGTGTAAACATTCGGTTTTCTAGACAATAGTAAGAAATAATTGGAATGATAGTGATTACTTCAAAGCCAGCCTTAATTTTGTGGATAAATTAAAACCTTGAAAAGATAGCACCTTTGGTAACATTATGGGAAGGAAGAGAAAATTGCTAGCTAGACTCCAAGGTATCCAAACCTCCAATAGCTATACTACCAGCTCTTTCCTTCGTAATTTAGAATTAGACCTTAAAAATGAGTTCAATGATATTCTAAAAATAGATGAAGCTTATTGGAAACTTAGGTCTAGAATCCTGTGGCTCAATGATGGAGACACAAATACAAAATTCTTCCATGTCTCAGCCACCAATAGGAAAAGAAGAAACAAAATTAATTTCTTCAAAGATGATGCTGGTAATTGGATAAATGATCATAGCCAAAGTATGTCTCATGTTCAAAACTATTTTACCTCTATATTTACTTCGTCTCACTCACATTCTAGCTGGGCTAACCCCCTAAATCCTCAATTTAGTTGTAACAATATTAACCTAGACAATCTAGATTCCCCTCTTCTAGATTCTGAAATTAAAAGGGCTATTTTCTCGTTCAAACCCTTTAAATCTCCTGGTCCGGATGGTTTGCACCCCTTTTTTTCCAAAAATATTAGTATCACATAAGTCAATCAGTTTGAATCCTTTTCATGACATTTTCAACAATCAAGAAATCCCTCCTGAACTTAACAAAACTTTTCTCTGCCTCATTCCCAAAATTCACAATGCCAACAACATTACAAATTTCAGACCTATTGGTTTATGCAATATAATTTGCAAACTAATCACTAAAATTCTTGCCAACCGTCTTAAACCATTCCTAGATCGATTGATCAGTCCATATCAGGCTAGTTTCATGAAAAATAGAAGAGCGTCTGATAATGCCATCATCATTTAGGAGCTGATTTCTAAATTTAATAAATTGAAAGGTAAGCAGGGCCACATGATTCTTAAAATTGACTTAGAAAAGGCTTTTGATCGTTTAGAATGGTCTTTCGTTTGCCACACCCTTGAATACTTTAAATTCCCACCAAAGTTTTCCAAATTATTACTGAGTTGCATCTCAACTAGTAATATAACAAATTTAGTCAACGGATCCGTTACAAATTATTTTCAGCCAAGTAGGGGAATAAGACAAGGGGACCCCATCTCCCCCTATATCTTTATCCTCTGCCTGGAAATGCTCACTAGGTACATAGAGCATCAAGTGGACATTAAGAATTGGGATCCTATATCCTTAGGACATAATTGTCCAAAAATCTCTCACTTATTATTTGCAGACGACCTTACCCTAATGGCTAGAGCAAATGAGAAATCATGTCAAGCCATTAAAAATGGTCTTGACCAATTTTGTTCTCTATCAGGTCAATGTATCAACATTACCAAATCAAAATTACTATTCTCCAAAAAATGTAACCATACTCTTATCAGAGATATTACCACTGTGTTAGGAATTAAGAAAAGTAATAATTTTGGCACCTACCTAAGTTTTCCTATCTTAAACCATAGCCCAAAACCTAGGGACTATCAATTCTTAATCGATAAGATGAGAACTAAACTTGCCTCATGGAAAATGAAATTCTTTAATTTGGCAGGAAGAACAACCCTTGCAACATCGTGCCTAAATTTCATCCCAAACCACTACATGCAATACACCCTTCTTTCCAGGAAAACCCGAAAAGAGATTGATAAAGTCCAAAGGGACTTCATATGGGGTAGCTCAACAGAAAAAAGGAAATTCACCTAGTCAACTGGTCTACCATATGCCAACCTAAACCCAATGGAGGCTTAGGCATCCACAATGCTCTTAATAAAAATCTGTGTACTCTAGCTAGCCTAAGCTGGAAACTTCTTACAAATGCCTTAATCCCTTGGCCAAGCTTATTATCTCTTACTATTGTACTAGTTCCTCAATGAGTAGATCTTCCTTCGTTTGGAAAAGTATTTGCAAAGGTTGGGAAATTTGCTCTAAAGGTATTATTTGGTCCCCCCACTTTTAATCCAATCTTAACATCTGGAAGACACATTGGATCCCTAATTTTTGTAACTTAAGAAAAAGTATAATAGGTCCCCTCCCCTAGGGATACAGTAATAAAAATCAGAGATATCTTTGATGGTTCCAATTGGAATATGGACAGATTATCTTTTCCTTTTCCTCCGGGACTACTAGCAAATATCACCAAAGTAAAAATTCGTCTCAAGGGTCCCTCAAATGATCTACCTATTTGGTCACTCGCCAATAAGGGGGTATTCACTACCAAATCATGTTATACGCTTCTGGAATCATCTAAAAACATCGACTTAGATTTTGACTGGATTTGAAAACTTGACTGTCCCAATAAAATAAAATATTTCCTATGGCAATGCCTTCACGATCGAATCCCTTGCAGAAAATACCTTTCACAGATTGGACTAAGCATTGACCCTTTCTGTCCCATCTGCAAAAGCCCTAATGAAGAATCTATAAAACATATCTTCCTAGAATGCAAAGCCGTCAACTAATTTTGGGCAGCCGTTCAATAGCACCACCAAAATAACCAAAATGGTAAACACTGGCTTACTCAAATAAAACACCTTAACTATCCTCTTAATCACGCTTTTCTAAACTGGAACTCCTATTTTTCCTTTATCATTTGGCACATTTGGATTAATAGAAACAATAATAACCACAATAACACTACCAACCTGATTAGTGGTTCTCATTATCATGCAGAGGGCTATAGAATTCAAATTACTCACGGAAAAAATCTCTATACACCCTCCCAAAATGCTAATAAAAATCAATTGGCACAAACCTCCAAGGGGTTGGTTCAAACTAAATGTTGATACCAGTTTCAACAGCTATAACCAAAATTGTGGCTTAGGTGGTGTCTTCAGAAATGCTAATGGTAATTGGGTGGTTGGTTTTACAAAACCAACTCATGCAAATGGCTCTCTAGCAGCAGAACTGAAAGCTCTACGACAAGGTCTAAGGACAGAAAAGGAGTGGAAACTCTTCCCACTTGAAATAGAGACGAACTGCTCAGAGGTAATCCAGGCAATACATGTAGGTAACAATTTATTTAACAAGGTTGTTAATGATTGCAGGTCATTAATGCACCAGCAGAAGGTTACCCTCCAGCACACTTTCAGGCAGGGGAATAAGATTGCTCATCAACTAGCAAAAAAATGCCTAGGAATGGACAACCAACTTTTTGGAGCAGCTAGAAGAAATAATGCCCAGAAGATCAGTAAAAAAGTTTTTGTTGGACCACCAAGTGATGTAATAGATTTTGTGGAAAGTGATAGACTCGAAGCTACTACTCATGAAAAACTGTTATCTAATGAAGCTTGCCAACTGTTAGCAAGCTTAGGGAACCAGTGTGTCCTTTGTGACACATCTTATGTTAAACCTGTACTAAACGCTCTTTAGTTATTAATATATATATTTTCTGTTTGCTCAAAAAAAAAAAGCTTTTTTTTTTTTTTGAATTTTGAAATTGTATTATATTCATGGTTCCAATTTGCTTGTTTTAGTAGTATTGGCTCGCATTGCATGTTGTTCATTTTTAGTTAGAATTAATAGATTAGTTTTGACAAACATTTGAATAATGTTATTACATTATATTAATAAATATTAATTTATTTTATCAAACACGAATTCCATGATGTTCTTACAAGACGTATATTTTTAGTTTTTTTTGTAAGTATCTAAACCAAATATTATTAACTTTAAAATATATATATATATATATATATATATATATATATATATATATATATATATATATTATTTTGATAAATATTAGTTATAAATATATGACTACTAATTAATGTATATTCCCAAAAAATATACATCTTAAATATCAAATATAATATCATTTATACTTATAAAACTTTTTAGCATATATTTATTATATTAACTTTTAAGTTTTGATAATTATTTTATTTAAAATTTATTCTAACTGTGTAATTACACTAGTGCAACCAAACAGTAAACTTGTAATTACACTGTAATTACACTATGACAAACAAACAAGTCGTCGTAATTACGCAATTATGTAATTACTAGGCTGTGTAATTACTACCCTAGTAATTACACAATTCCAATTACCTGCAGGCGGCTTTCCAAACAGACCCTTAGTTTATTGGTTTTGTTGAGTCTTAAGTTAGAAAAATTCCTGAATTAAATTCTAATTCATCATAACTTTTAACCACATAGATTCTCTCAAATATTTACAAAAAAGATGTGCTAGTTAAGGTTCGGACCTCTGATCCGCTACTTCATATGTCAAATGGAGTCATTTTTTCCTCCTTATCCGCTACTTCATAGTATTAACACATATATTTAGTAAAAATTCGACGAAACATTACTTCGATAAATGTGCATCCGCCCCTGCCCACTAGCCTCAAACCGATGTTTTTGAAAAGCTTTTCCTTATAATAATTAGTAAACTTCTTCCACTAGATGAGTCATTCCACGTTCAGCGGAGCGCGTTGATAGATAAAGTTGAACTATTACAAACAAATGAAATCAAAATTTCTTGGAATAACCATAAAATAAAAAAATAAAAAATTGACTATGCAAGACCTAAAACTCTTTTTAAACGAAGTATGAAGCTAAAGTAACTCCACCAATTCATGAAAAAGAAAAGAAAATTAATTATAGAGAGATGTCTATAGATACAATCATGGAAGATGGAGATTCCTTTGTTTCTAATACAGATGCAATCATCTGTGCCGCTTCTGATATTTCAGGTTGGACTCAAAGCCTGATCTCAGACCCCAATATTCCGAATTCGTCAAACTCGATGAGTGTAGACGACGACCACCACCAGCAGATTTCGACTGCTGCTGGCGGCGGTACTGATGATTTGATGATTATATCATCATGTGCATCTTCCAGCATGCCTAAGAATAATGACAAGCAAAGCGATCAAGAGATCAAAATATTTAATGTTGATTTTAGAGCATTTTCTGGGGCTGCTGTAGTATATTCACCTTCTTCTTCTTCTTCGTCACCAACTCAACCCCAAAACAATTTTTTATTCAGAAGACACTGCATTCAGAACGTTTAGATCAGCTTTTGTCCCCTATAAAGTCCCAAGACTCCCAATAGCTGCAAGAGATCGTAGTCAAAGCCAGGGCGGATCCAGGATTTAAACCGTCAAACGACCACAAATGGTAGTTACAAAATTCCAGTGAGAAGAGACGCGGAAGGCCTAATGATATGTTTCAACAATGAGATCTTTGATCCCTCAGACCAAGACGCGGAAACGTTCATGCTTTCTTTCAAACGCAGTATTTTACTACAACCAAAAAAAGAAATCATTTAAGAAATAAGGAATAATTGCAGGTGGAAACCAACTTGTTATAGTTGCCTAAATAATTGCAGTGTTGTAGACAAAAGTACTTACTGGACCTAAATTCAAGGAGTTGGGCTGCAAAAGTTGAGGAGCACACACCAGAAGCTGCTGATCCTTTTTTGAATATGTTTTGGATTCTGTTTTTATTTTTTGAAAGTTTGCAGTTCTTCTTTTCTAGTTAACAGTAAATTTGTGCACTAAGCTCCCGTTATGTGTAGGATCCGAAGAAGGCTGGATTATCATACGCAGCCTTATTCTGCATTTTTACAAGAAACTGTTTCCACGACTGGAACCCATAACCTCCTGGTCACATCAGAACAGCTTTCCTTTCTTAATCAATGAAATGTACCACTTGTCCAAGTCAAATTTACTTTTTTCTGCTCTTAAAATCATCATAGACGTGGCAAAATATAATTTGTAACTGGCCTGCTCAAGTGTAAACAGGGTTAGATGATGACCACAAAAGTGATCAATTTGCTTTGGGCACACCTATTAAGAAAATACTAAATTTTAGACAAAAATAGTTAGTGTGACTAAATTATCCCTATTTAAATGTTGCAGCATAGTTATAGTAACACTTACTTCTCTTCTCAAATGTGAGGAGTAAATGACTTTTTAGGGATACGTAGATAAGGGTAATTTTGGAAAAATAAATTAAATTTTTTCTTGATTATATAAATGGACATTTATTTTAGACCAAAATAAAAAAGCAAATTGGTCAATTATTGTGGGCGAGTAAGTATTGATTATCATATTCTTATTGTGGGAGCCATTAAAACAGTAAAAGGAGTCACTTTAAAATGCTCCTTTTTCTCCATTTCAAAAATTTCAAGATAATTAAATCAAATTCATTTGGGTTCTCACAGTTACAAAAACTCTTGGGAGAAAAGTGTCAGCTTCAAAGCACACTGAAAATTATGATTAAAATAAATTAGAAAAATTATTTTCACTAATTGCAAATCAACTGGTTTAAAGTACTCTCCTGTAGACATAGATGATATTTTTGGGGTCTCTACTTTACTGGAACATTATTGAAATAGTTTATCTTAGGGTGAGAATTCCAATTGCTACCTCATGAGCTGTGATTGTTCTAAAATTTATTTACTACAGCATCTAAGGGTGTGGTCTATAAAAACTATGGAAGATAAATGTTCAAAAATCCCAACAAATGCGAAAATAGTTAGGTGATGTTTTTTCATTTGCCTAATTAAGTCTTGATTGGTAAAGTTATTCAGCACCTATTTTGATAGAAGATAAGAAGTCGTCATTGAAAATGTTCGTGCAAAAAAATTTAGTTTACTATATGATGCTAGGTAATTGATAAGAACACATAGGAATTAAATGAACTGAGACTTGTATTCTGAAATCGATATTTTCTTTTTCGGAAAAGGGAAGAGAATTTAAAATTTCACTTCTTCTTTTCCACCCAGTGGCGTAGCCACATACAATGAAGGGTGGTTAGTTAAACACCCTTCATTTAAAAATTATACTGCATATGTAAATCAAAGGTCTAAGGCTGGTTTCGGAAAGGGATAGGAGAAAATGTAGTTCATTCAAGACTCAGATAGAATTAGTTAGAAGCACATCTTTCTATTGATATTGACTTGATGTGATGTTCTCTTCTCTTGCCCGTAAACCATAGGAAACAAAAAATATTTGTTATATATGTATATTAATTATTAGATCTTGAACATCCTTAGTGAAATTTCTGATTACGCCACAGTCTCCGCCCTTGATTTTAAAAACTATCAAATTAAGATATGAATGGTGAAAAAAGATAAAGACTTCGTTGTAAATTGACAAGAAAATGATTTATCTACATCAGCCATGTTCGAGGAAATTTAACGTCCAACTTCTCTCCAATCAAGACTTCATAGGCCTAGCTAGGAAAATAAAATGACTTCATTTCGCACTCGTCAAAGATCGATATTGATCTACATATACGTGTTCGAGGAAATTCAACGTCTAACTTTTCTCGTAATGTATTACTTTGTATGGGTCCCACTTTTCTCATAGTGATGTTTTTAATTGAGCTCTATATATTCCCTATTACTAGAAGGGAGTAATCAACATTCAACACTACATAAAGTTAGATCAAATTAGTGCCATTCTTTTGACGTATGAAAGTTACATTCCATGAACAAATGAAAGTGAAATTTCTTTGAATGACGAATAACAAATAAAATAAGTTGACTAAGTCAAGACCTGTCTCGGTCTTGACTCTTTTTAAGCAAAGCAGGAAGCTAAGAAAACTCCAGCAATTTATCCAGAAAAAGGAAGAGGAAGAAAAAATGAGTTCTGGAAATTTGTCTACGGACACATTCATGGAAGATGGGGAGTCCTTTGTTTCTAATACTGATGCAATCATCAATGGCACTTCTGATATTTCAGGTTTGACCTTAAGCTTGATCTCAGATCCCAATATTCCTAATTCGTCTGATTCATCGACGAGTATAGATGACCACCTGCAGCAGATTTCGACTGCTGCAGGCGGTTGTGATAATATGATTGTGTCATCAGGTGCAACTAATTCCAGGATATTTAATAGTAGTACTGATTTCAGGGCATTTTCTAGGAATATTAGTGCTGTTTGGAATAATTACAGTGATAAAGTGGCCGAGGAAGGATCTGCAGAGAGCAGTAACAGAATGAGATCTGAGGATGGTCTTGAACTTTGTTTAGGTTTGAGTATTGGCACTGAGGCAGTTAACGAAGAACCACTTGTCAAAATCTTATTGGCTTGTGGCGAGGCAGTCCAACGAAACAACCAAACTCTAGCTGACGCACTAGTCAGGCTGATGAGAGAACATGCAGTTTCACAATTTGGACCAATGAAAAAGGTGGCAACTTATTTCGCAAAAGCTTTGGATCAAAGGATTCAAGGAATGAATTTAGAAGATATTATGGAATTCTCTTGTTACACGGACAACCTCATGCAGATGCGCCTCCATGAGATTCGTCCGTACCTCGAATTCGCCTATTCCACTGCCAATCGAGCTATTCTCGAAGCCTTTCCCAATTCTAGTACTAGAGTACATATAATTGATTTCAGCTTGAACCAAGGTCCGCAATGGCTGGCACTTATGCAGGAATTTGCTTTGCGTCCTGGCGGTCCACCGGCTATTCGACTCACTGGAATTGGCTCACCCGATAACACCAATGCCTTACGGCAGCTCAAGTGGAAGCTCACCGAGTTTGCCGATATATTTGGCGTAGAATTTGAATTCCGTGGAATCATGGTCGACTCTTTAGCCGATGTTGATACTTCCAGGTTGGATATTAGGCCTAGTAATTATGAAGAAGTGGCTGTGAACTCTATTTTCGAGCTTCACCATCTGTTGTATACACCAGGCGAAATCGAGAAGGTGCTGAATTCCATCAAAGAGATGCATCCAAAGATTGTGACAATAATTGAAGAAGAAGCGAATAGAAGTGTCTTTATGGACAGGTTTAACGACGCATGGTCTTACTATTCAAAAATGTTTGACTCGTTGGAAAACTCAGAGTCGACTCATGATCAGCACAACAGCGGTGACTCAAGGTTGGTGCATGAGTACCTAGGTCAGCAGATCAATAACATGGTGGCTTGCGAATTAGGAACTGAGCTAGTTGAGACGACGCTGAGTGAATGGCGAGTGAAGATGAACTCAGCCGGGTTCAACCCGGTTCAGCTAGGTCCAAGCATGTACGTACAAGCAACCATGATATTGGACTTGTTTCAAAATAGGTATGGATATCGAGTGGAACAGAATAATGGGTGTCTTACGTTGAGTTGGCATGGTCGCCCACTCATTTCCACCTCTGTTTGGCAGCTTAAGCCGCCGAGTCTGGGCTAGTCAGTCATGGATGAACTCGTTATCCTCTGTTTGAACAACTTTTTAGAGAACGAACGTATTTCTTTGGCTAATTTATAAAGATCCTTCAATTTACCTACTTAGCCCCATTTTAGGATGGAGCCAATATGATATATCATTACTTTTAGAGTCGTTTGGTTTGGAAACAAGTTATGCAAGAATTATCATGTAATGATTAGTGATAGAATTGAGATTGCATGTATGATCAAACAGCAAATTCTAGAGAATTCATAGAAGTGAAGAACGGAGAAGAAGAGGAGAGAAAATTTTATTTCTGTTTTCTTAGCTCAACTCGAATACAATCGAACAGTATTTAACAAAATTAATTGCTATACATGTGCCTCTCACGTGTGTGCATGTGTAATGACTTATATACCCCCATTAACTATTTTAACTCTCAATACTCCCCCTCAAGCTGGAGGGTGGAAGATGTCTAACATACCAAGCTTGGAGACTAAGGAAGAATGCTGTGCTGCAGTTAGTCCTTTTGTTAGAACATCAGCTAGCTGTAAGGAAGAGGGAATATGACATGGAGTAATGAGTCCTGCCTTGATTTTCTCTCTAACAAAATGGCAATCAATTTCAATGTGCTTTGTCCGCTCATGAAATATTGGATTTCCAGCTATTTGTATTGCAGCTTTATTGTCACAAAACAATGTAATAGGTCTACACACTTTAACCCCTAAGTCTTCCAACAATCCTGTTAACCATGTAATCTCAGCAGTTGCAGCAGCCATACTTCTGTACTCAGCTTCTGCTGAACTCCTGCTTATTGTATGTTGTTTCTTTGATTTCCAGGATATCAAGGAATTTCCCAATTTAACAATATATCCTGTCACAGATTTTCTAGTATTAAGGCATGATGCCCAATCTGAATCACAATAAGCCACTAGCTGATCAATAGGTCCTGCTTCCATCAGTAATCCCATGCCTGGTCCCCCTTTGATATATCTAACTATTCTCAATGCTGCCTCCATATGTGACTCTTTGGGCCTTTGCATGAACTGGCTCAAAGTTTGCACTGCAAAACTTGTATCAGGTCTGGTAATTGTTAAGTACAGCAGCCTTCCTATTAATCTTTGATAAGCTGAATTATCTTTCAGCTCTAAATCTCATGTTTTCCCAACACATGTATCATACCCCACTGTTGTCAATTTTTGATTCAACTCTATAGGAGTTGCAGCTGGTTTTGCACCACTCAAACCAACCTCTGAAATTAATTCTAAGGCATACTTTCTTTGATTGAGCAAGATTTCTTTCTTTGATCTTGACACCTCAATACCAAGGAAGTACCTCAGTTTGCCTAAGTCTTTAACCTTGAATTTGCTGTGTAGGACCTTCTTGGCATCATTGACTAAGTTAGAACAGCTTCCAGTGATCATCAAATCATCTACATACACTAATATGATGAATATTTCTCCTTCTTGCTGCTTTGTGAAGAGAGAGTGATCAAAAG